TGTAAGAAAAGGATCTGGAGTTTTTCCAACCTCAGTAATTATTCTCCTTGCTGATGTTTTAACTGCCAAAGTGTATGTCTCAAATTTGTCCAAGTGCTGAGTCTTCATCAGGGTACCAAGTGACATTTCAGCACTGGGTACTTTTCCTTACAGAGTCAGGCTTGGTGACATGGAAAGAATTTACGCTGCTGTTATTAGTGCTTGTAGTACTGTAGCTGTGATTTCTACACATATATAAAGGGAAAACTTTAACTGAGCCTCTTAAGAGCTCTTGTAAGATAGTAGAGGAAAGCTATTCCTATATCATATAGACAGAATTGACTGGATCTTTCCTCTTCCAAGTTGTTTATCAAACACAGGTGATACACATTTGTCACTTTTTAAAAAAATATATTTTATTGATTTTATACAGAGAGGAAGGGAGAGAGATAGAGAGTTAGAAACATCGATGAGAGAGAGTCATCGATCAGCTGCCTCTTGCACACCCCCCACTGGGGATATGCCCGCAACCAAGGTACATGCCCTTGACCGGAATTGAACCCGGGACCCTTCAGTCCCCAAGCCGACGCTCTATCCATTGAGCCAAACCGGTCCCGGCCCATTTGTCACTTTTTGATTTTGTTTTCTGTAGGTGAGATATTTTCAAAGTGTATTGTTCATTTATTTTATTTTATCCTCACCCGAGGATATTTTTCCATTGATTTTTAGGGAGAGTGGAAGAGAGAGGGAAAGACAGAAAGAAACATCTATGTGAGAGAAACATATTGATTGGCTGCCTCTGACCAGAGCCTGGGCCCAGGAGGAGCATTCAACCAAGGGCCGTACCCTTGACCGGAATCAAACCTGGAACCCTTTGGTTCTCAGGCCAATGCTGTATCCACTGAGCCAAACAGGCATGGGCTTGTTCATTTATTTTAAATCTGAACCATTGTTAAAACTTTTTTAGCCCAGCCAGAATGGCTCAGTTGGTCATCCTGTGTACTGAAAGGTTGTTGGTTTGATTCCTGATCAGGGTGTATACCTGGGTTGCGGGTTCAATCCCCATTTGAGGCACATAGAGAAGGTAGCCGATCAATCTCTTGCATCAGTGTTTCTCTTTCCCCCTCTTCTAAGTATGTCCTTGGGTAAGGATTTAAAAAAAGTTGATGTCATTGTACTGTTCACCATTTAATCATTGCTGCTCACTTTAAAAAAAAACCTGAAGGATCCCTCATCCCCAGTCCCTCCCTCTTCCTGACCAACTACTGCTTTTATACCTGCTATTTCTGCCTCATCACTTCCCACCCTGGCTGGCCTCTGTCCTTACTACTACACTGAAACTACTCTTATCAGGGTCACCTATAACATTCCTGTTGCCAATCCCAATGCACTCTTTAATGCCTGTCTTTTTTTTTTTAATTTTGTTTTTTTACTTTGCTGCAGCATTTGCAGTTTCTCATTTCCTTCTCTTTTCTTCCTACTCCTGTGGCTTTCCCTTCATAGATTCTTTCATCAGCTCCTCCTCCTCTACAATCATTTTCATGTTAGCTATTAAATCTTGTCTAAAACCCCAGCCCTATATCCATAGTCCTCTTCCCATTATATTTGCATGATGATAATTTCCTCTGCACCTGAGTCAATCATCTTCTGACTGATAAGTGTGCATCTCCAGTTGAGAGACCAATCCCCCCTCCTTGAGCTCCAGATCTCACATACGTACTCAACTGTGCATGTGTCACCGGTACATCAAACTCAACATCTCCAATACTGAACTATGCATTTCCCTCTGTAAATCTGTTACCTATCTCACTGAATGGCCCTGCTATCCACCTGGTTGCTCAGAACAGCTTACCCACCTAGTTGCCAGGTTAGTTCAGCCTGTTTAGTCTTTCATCACCCTTTTTCCTCCCAGTCTGCTTGGTTATCAAATCATTCTGAAAGATAATGTCTTCTAAAAATCACCCTGTCTCTATTCTCTTATATTAGGCCCTAAACTCTTAGTGCCTGAATGATTTCAATGGCCTTCTATCTGACCTTTTTGACCCTCTGTAGTTTAGACCAGTCTCTCTAAAATAGAAATCTAATGTCAAGTCCTTGCTTATAACCCTTCCATGACTTCCTTTTGATTTCAGGATAAAGTCTAAACTCTGTTCTTCAACATGCAATGTCTTTTATGATTCACCTCCTGATGATCTGTAGCACCTCAACTCTTGTCACTTTATATCCTAGCCATAGTGAACAGCATGTGATTCCCTGAATGGTCTGTGTTCTCTCACTGTTCTTGGCTGGATATATACTACTGTTCTGCCTGCCTGGAAAACCTTTCTTTTACTTTGTTACCTGCTTATGTGATGCCTCTGGAAAGGTTTTCCTAATATCCCACTCCCTCATGCTTGGTTAGGTACCTCTTTTCTTCTTTGATTATATATAGTTATAATTGTTTATTCAGTCTGTTTTTGTTTATTTCTTTTGCTAACTGGACTTAGAGACAATTAATTGGAGGAAAGATCTTGTTTTCATCTCTGAGCCCTGCAGGCCTACTTAGGCTAGTACTCCATTCACATACGTATATACTAAAAGAATGGCTGCTGGTTAGAGTGAAACGAGATAAGAAGGTAAAATGTAACTAATAGGGATATACTGTGAATTTTGGAGTTAAAGAAAGTTTTATAAATTTAATTTATAGTTGAGGTATATCTACATAACGTAATGTTACTTGACCATAAAAGGGAATTAAATTCTGATTCATGCTATAATGTGGAATAAACCTTGAAAACATTATGCTAAGTGAAAGAAGTCAGACCAAAGATCACATATTGTAGAATTCTATTTATATGAAATGTTCAGAATAGGCAAATTTATATGTAGAGAAAATGGGTAATCCAGCATCAGAGTCAACATTCAGTCCTCTGCCCGCAATGTGTGCGCGACTCCGGGGGCCCTGCTTTTCGCTGCTCCCCTGGGATTCTGCCTCACAGCCCCGTCTCCCCCTGCCGGAGCCTGGGTCCCCAGGGTCTGGCCCATAACTGGGGCTCAGTGCTGCTGGTTCGGGGGTTCAGCCCAGGCTGGGGGTTTTATTTCCCTCCTGCTAGGGAACGCCAGGCAGCACCCAGCCCTCTCCGGCTGCGACCTCTCCACGCGCGCGTGCGTGTGGGCTCGCAGCATGTCTCCGTACCTTAGGCTTTTTTTCAGCTCCTCTGATTTTCCTTCTGGTTTTCTCTTTCCTTCTTGTTGTAGAATTTTCAGTCAGTCAACTACCTGTAGCTCTGGGCGATGTCCACTCTACATTTTAGTTGTATTCCATTGAAATTGTGTGTGCTGCTGTGGTCAGATGTCTACCCGAGCAGCCATCTTGGATCCTCCCCCCTATATGTAGAGAAAATGGATTAGTGGTTTCCAGGAGCTGGGAGTTGGGGTAGGGGACATGGAGAGTGACTGCTAATAGGTATGGGGTTTCTTTTTGGAGCAATGAATTTTTTTACATTAGATATAGTGATCAATATACAACTTAGTGAAAATACTAAAAGCCACCAAATTGTATAGTTTAAAAGGGTAAACTTTATGGTTTGTGAATTATAGCTCAATAAAGCTGTTATTAAACAACTAGGGGCCCAGTGTACAAATCCCTGCACCTTGAAAGGAACTGTGGGCCGCAAGGCTGCAGTGGACACAGGGGCGGGTCTTGGCCCATCCTCTGTTCCCCCACCCGGCCCCTCCCACCATGGTCCCCAGTCCCCTGTCTGCCAGCAGCTCCTCTCCCACTGCTGCTCCTATGAGCTGATGGTAGCTGGTCCTACTTGCACCTGCTGATGGCATGGAGCAATTGGGGCCAGCACCAGCAGCGGGTGTGAGCAGGGGCTGCTGCCCTGATCACCCTTAGGAGCAGGGGGAGGTGGAGAAGCCCTTAGGGAAAATCAGGGCTGGCAGCTGCCGCTTGCACCTGCTGACAGCAGCCAGTGCAAGGAGCAGCTCGCTCCAGTGCAAGCGGGGCCAAGGCTGGTGCCGGCAGTGGGTGTGAGTGGTGGCTCTGGTGCTGGCAGTAGTGCGATCAGGGCCATCATTGGCAGCGGGTGCATGAGGTGGCCGCTGGCCCCGTTCGCCCCTCAGGAGAAGGGGGAGGTGGAGAAGCCCTGATGACAGTGACGGGTGCCCTGCCTTGTCCTGGTGCCCCCATTTCACTTGCTCCACTATCCCATTGTGTCCACCGCCTGCCATTTTCCGTGCTTGCCCCCTGGTGGTCAGCACATGTCAAAGTGACTGGTTGTTCCTTTGTTCAGTTGTTCTGCTGTTCAGTCTATTGGCATATTAGCCTTTTATTATATAGGATTTGGTCAATATAGGTTTATAGTACCTAGAATATCAATATGGTGAGCCAGGTAAAATTCTAACAATATGTTAATATCATAGTGCCAGTTTGAGGACTTCTTTTAAAATATATAAAGTATATATTTTAAAATTAAAGTCTGATCTTTTAATAGTAGGGGGACTCAATCTACAAATATCATTGATTTTCTAATTTGTTAAATGTGTATTATTTGGCCAGCCACGTGTTTTAGGAATAACTTGAAATATGTGTGTTTAGCAGTCCCGTGAATGAATGGATGGAGGTGGTAAACACATTTCTATCATGATTTCACTCTCAGGTTGGGATTCTTTGGAGCATATTCTGGGTACAGATGGTTTGAATCTATTTTCTCATTTTGTTACCTTCCCAATCACTTCTTCAAATCTTGATCTAGAAATGCAATGAAATGTGTTGTTACCCCAGGGAATGTTTTTGCCTTCTGTCTTATGGATTGTATGAATATTGGACTCTTAGCTTTGTGAATTTAGTAATATTTTAAAATGTAATTGCATTCTGTCTAAAAATTGATTTTGAACCACATGAGACTATCATAAAATATTTTCTGCTTTCAATTTAAAGATGTGTGTAGGGTATAAAAGAAGTCGTCTCTGTCTGAAAGAAGAGCTAATATTGTGTTCTTTGTGTTTTTTTTATTTTTTATTTTTTTAATTTCCAGGTCTTTTTGTGGGCCTTGTACTTCGATATGGAATTCATGTTCCAAGTGATATAAATAACGTGACCCTGAGCTGTGAAGTGCAGTCAAGCCCAACTACCTTATTGGTAAATGTTAGTGGAAAATTTTATGAGTATACACTGAAAGGCGAAATTAGTCCACATGAACTCAATAACATTCAAGATAATGATATGCTTAGAAAGGTAAGTTCTTAATTAAAAGGAAATTTTAATTTTAAAAAGTGGATAATTAGGAGCAAAGTGATTCAGGAGAAAAATAATGAAATTTTAAATGATATTTACTAGTAAAATAATTAGCCTTTTAAAATGGAGTAAAACCTCGAGGAATGTAATGTAATGAAGAGTAATGAACATGTCTGTACATTTCATTTTCTTTTTTAAAAACATATTTTATTGATTTTTTTTACAGAGAGGAAGGGAGAGGGATATAGAGTTAGAAACATCTATGAGAGAGACTCACCGATCAGCTGACACCCCCCACCGAGGGTGCCCGCAACCAAGGTACATGCCTTGACCGGAATTGAACCTGGGACTCTTCAGTCCCCAGGCTGGCGCTCTATCCACTGAGCCAAACCGGTTAGGGCAATGTACATTTCATTTTCTGATTGAGGTTAAGTACTATAAATCTTTTTTTTCACTCTGATGTTTGCAATTGTAATAAATGGTAACCAGTATTGAGTTAAACAGAATTTATAAGGGTTTCCTTCAATTTGCAGATAGTCCTTAGAGTTTATTGTACTCCAGCACATTGAGTTGATAATACATAAAATATTCTATTAATATCTCTTTGAATTCTTTCTTGCCTTGATGGTATTCTATACTGAGAACAATTTAATATTTCTTTGATTCATAATCTGGCACAACTTCAGAGGCTTCAATATGAGTGTCAGTTATTGTACCAGGCTGGACATAGAGCCTTATGTAGGAGGTTGGATTGCAGTCTCACTAGCTCCCAGACATTCTTCAAGCTGCTTTCTCCTGTGACCCTCATAGTTTCTATTCCTGAAGCTTCTCAGGATCTCTTTGTTTCCACCCACTCTTGGCCATTTGCCTCCATTTCTATCTCCTACATTGGCAGGAGTTGGCTTTTATAACTAGTACTTGATTGTGTTCCTGACCATCTTGAATGCTTTTTAAAATTTCATATGAACTTCAAGTTTATTTTGCAGCAAGAGTTCTTTCTACCTGGGGAAAATTCCAGTTCTTTAAAAGTTCTAGTAAATGAACTTGTAGCATGGTTATATGTACAGATGTTTTGTGTTCATGTCAAATCCTGCTAGAGCCTTATGAACACAAGGGGGCATCTGTATTATTCTAGGGAATAAATATTAAAAGAAATGGACTGTCAGGATTAGAAATGAGTTGCGCAGAAACTTTTTACCATACTATTATGTTACTAGTAGCCCTGCACATGAATCCGTGTGCCAGTAGCTCGCCAGTAGCTCGCTGCCACCCTCCAGTAGCTTTCCGCCTGCTGTCCCACTCTCCTATAGCTCCTCCTGCCCCCCGCCCCCACTCATAGCTTGCTGCCCCGCCCCCTCTGTAGCTCTCAGCCACCTGCTTGTAGCCAGTATCTCCCTGCCACCCTCCAGTAGCTTTCTGTCCGCTGTCCTGTTCTCCTGTAGCTCCCACTGCCCCTTTCCCTCTCATAGCTTGCTGCCCTGCCCCCTCTTGTAGCTCTCTGCCACCCGCTTGTAGCTTGCTGCCCCACCCTCCTGCTTATCCATGATCTGGTTGTTACACGGTTGGTCATAATGATCATTTGCATATTACATATTTATTATATAGGATATACCTTCAGATATATTACCTAGGCATAAAGAAGTCTGTTTCCTCTTGCCAAACATAATGTCGTACCTCTATATTTCATGTTACCAGTTTTGGGTCTCATTTAAAGGAAATTTATGATCATGCTTTCTCCTATTTTGAAGGTTTTTAATATAGTATTTTAACACATTTTCACAGATCTGCCTTAACTGGTTGTTCCAAATCTATGTCCTTGTCATTTGGTTGAGAATGAAACGACATATATCCTACATGAAATATTTTTTGGTTACCACACTAAGATTCTTGCCTTTTACCAGTTTAACATTCATTTTTTTCCCCTTTTGATAGTGTGATAATATAATGTGAAGTGTTATAAGGGAATTCTGCTAAAAGAACTCTTTATTTTACCAGGTTACTTTTGATCCGGAAGTATTTTTCAACATATTACTTCCTCCTATCATATTTTATGCAGGATATAGTCTGAAAAGAGTAAGTACTTTTGTATTTCATAAATTTTGAACAATGTTAAACGCCAAGGGCTTTATCATCTTTGACTCTTCAGAAACAGTTCTTCCCAGCTTTCCTCTCTTCTCTTCTCCTTCTCCTTTATAAATGCTGAAATGTATGCCTGCCTGTATAAAAATTATTTCTTTTATTTCCTTTAATGAATAATGCATTTCATATTAGCACACTAAAATAGAAAGCCTTTATTTTGTTAAATATTCTAACACAATGTAACCTTTCTTTTGTCAGAGACATTTCTTTCGAAACCTTGGGTCTATTCTAGCGTATGCTTTTCTTGGAACAGCTATTTCTTGCTTCGTAATTGGGTAAGTACTTGCAGCTTAAAACATGTTTTAGCTTTCATATTATAATTTTAAAGTAATGCTAGTTGGTTTACGCCGTGTTGTATTTCTGAGTGTCAAAGGACTTTTCCAGTAAAATGTGTTCACAAAGATAAGTCATTTGAATTTGCCTTAAGGCCAGGGCATTACCCTATTTAAATGACATGAATTGAATTTGGGATTAGTTACAAAGTACTACAGTGGTCTCATCTTATTCTTATTATATACTGACTTCCTTAATAGTTGATTTTTTTTTCTAAAGTAGAAATATGTTTCTTGAACAGGTCAATAATGTATGGCTGTGTAACACTGATGAAAGTAACTGGACAACTTGCGGGAGATTTTTACTTTACAGATTGCCTGCTGTTCGGTGCCATTGTATCAGCAACTGATCCAGGTATGTTTTACATGAGAGGAGATTAAGTACTTAAGGAATAGTGTTTTGCCAGCAAAACATTTGTGGGCAATTCTTCCTTTGAGGTGTAGAATTCATGATTAGGTACTTCCCATAATACTGCACTCTCGAGTTACAGAGGGGGGAAAACGAAATTCATGGTTCCTTTTGGCTTAAACACACATTTTTTTCTTTTACTTTATTACATTTGCCTATTACTGGTCCGCACAATCTGATGCTGTTTGGACACAGACGATAAGGTATTTTTTTCAGAATTTCGAGTAGGTCTCTATTCCTAGTGATTAGGTATGGGAGATGAATTAGATTAATAAAAATGGGTAATAATAATTATATACTTCCTTTCAAGCTTCTAGAAAAAGTTCCCTAAAAATCTTCTGTTTACATTCAGCTACTGCATGTAAGAGTAAGAAAAGAAGTTTTTACATGATTGTAAGAAGGCAATTGTGCTACTACAAGTGTGATTTTGGGTCATTGGTGGCCTTTAGTATACATTAAAGGATTGTTTTTATAAAATTGGCCTTATGATTATGATTATAAAATAGTCTTGTTATTAGCACAGTTGAAGAATGAATTTAATTATACTGAGTTAGGTTATAGTTTTCCAAATATAGTATTGGCAGGCTTAACAGCTACAAATTAGGCAGTTAAAGGATATGTAGGCTGAAGAGGTAAGGATAGAAACATAGGTTGCAGGTTTTTTTTTTTTAATATGTTTTTATAGATTTGAGAGAGAGGGAAAGGGAGAAGGAGAAAGACTGATGAGAGAGAACATTCAGCTGGCTGCCTCCTGCACTCCTTCCACTGAGGATAGAGCTGCAACCAGGCAAGTGCCATTACTGGCAATCTAACTGGCCACCCCTGGGTACATGGGAGAATGCTCAACCAACTGACCCATACTGGCCAGGACTAGGTTGCAGGTTTTGAACTGAGGAGCAAGTTTTCTTATACTAGACTTTAGAAGCTCAGTAGAGGTTTGTTCTGTTATACCTTTTGACCCTGAACGTTAATTACCTTCTTTTATTGTCATCCAGCACAATTAAAGGGGTAGGATCCTGAGGTTATCTCTGAATTCTGTGTTAACCTTGATGACTATGGAAAATAGGGAAATGTTTTATACTCTATAGGATATTATCTTACAAGATAAGAAGACATTTTAGAGATGTATTTATGTAGTTTAGCATTTTTAAAACTGAAAATCAAATTGCTTCCTTAAAGACCATCAAGACTGCCCCCTCATTATTTGAAACTCATTATCAATGTGAAGATAGCATGGATTTTGCAAGGAGCCAGTGTTCTCTGTTTTCTGTATCATCACGAGAAGCAAGGTCCTCTACTTTTTAAAGCCTATGAGGAATTTAAATCAATAGAACTGGCTACATTGCTGCAACCTATGGTTTTGTTCCTTATATAAAATTGGGCAGTTATATTTATTCTGAATCATAAAAGCATGTGCCCCTGTTTGGGTTTATTTAGTGAGTGAGCTGTATGTGACTCAGAAATTATGACATAACTTCAGTCTCATCAGATTTTCTAAGAATTTTCTTGTAAAAGAAGTTTTTTTTCTTCTTCTTAAGCTGTAATAGCATGATAGTTGGCTTCTTATTAAGTTAATTAAATCAACTATAATTCTGGTCAAAAAGCAAACTTGCCCTGCCAGTATGCCTCAGTGATTGAGTGTTGACCTATGTACCAGGAGGTTGCTGGTTCGAATCCTGGTCAGAGCACATACACAGGTTGCTGGATCATTCCCCAGCTGGGGCATGCAGTAGGCAGCTGATTGATGTTGATGTTTCTCTCTCATCGGTGTTTCTATACAGCCTTCTCCTTTCTCCTCTCTCTAAAAATCAATAAAAGCATATGTTTTTTTTTAAAAAAAGCAGCCGAGACCGGTTTGGCTCAATGGATAGAGCGTCGGCTTGGGGACTAAAGGGTCCTGGGTTCAATTCCAGTCAAAGGCATGTACCTTGGTTGCGGACTTATCCCCAGTAGGGGCTGTGCAAGGGGCAGCTGATCGATGACTCTCTCTCATTGATGTTTCTTAACTATCTCTCTCCCTTCCTCTCTGTACAAAATCAATAAAATATATTTAAAAAAAAAAGCAAACTTGTGTTTTCATTTCCTGCTATCTTTGCTAAACCAGTGTGCTTGAAATTTGCAAGTCAAATAGGAGTTGTAAGGCTCCAAGGAAGAAATGAAGTTTGCAGCAGGAAATGCTTTTCATAATATTCTTCAAAGATTAATGATCATCTGGTCTATAAGAAAATTTGAATACATTCCTTATGGAAAATAAATCTACAGGACAAGAATATTAGCATTCACACGAAGAATGTAGTTTAACTCAGTCTTCCAAGGTTATTTTCAGCTGTTTGTAAGAGAGAGAAAGGAGAGTGTGGGTATACATTTAGGGAAAAGAAAAATATTGACATAAAACTACTGAATCTTAATATGGTAAGAGAATGTTTATTCAAGTTGAATTCTAGGACAAAGAAATGAACTTATAAATAACAATTATAATCATCTACAGAGGGGAATATGTTATATTTATAATGTCTAAGTATTACTCTTGACTCTTTTTACTTGCTAGTGACTGTTCTTGCCATATTCCACGAGCTTCAAGTTGATGTTGAACTTTATGCACTTCTTTTTGGTGAAAGTGTTCTCAATGATGCTGTTGCCATAGTGCTATCTTCGTAAGTGAATTTTTTTTTATTATATACTATATATTGAATGTTAGGGTACTAGAAACCAAAAGTCATCTATTGAATGAAATGCATTATGAATGGAAACATTTGGAAAAAATGAGACATTATTTCCCTTTTGAAAAAATGCAATCTTATAGATAACATGGAAAATGCAGGAATGAAAAAGATATGTACTCTTACACCTAAAGACAATTATTATAAACTAGTGGCTCAGTGCATGAAATTCGTGTGCTGGGGGAGACGGGGAGAGGTCCCTCAGCCCAACCTTTCCCCTCTCACAGTACTGGAGCCTTCAGGGGATGTCCTACGACTTAGACACGTTCCTGGTGAGGAGTGTGCCTAACCCACAGTATGGCCTCCCTCTGCAAGAGGCGACTGGGCAATATTGGGAAGGCACTGCCCCCATCACTTCATTGCTGCTACCACTGCTGACCACCATGGCTGCTGGCACTCAGTCCTCGCTTCTTAGCATTGGCCAGGCCAGCTGTGGGAAGGGCTATAGGAGGTTGAGGTACAGCAGGAAGCACCTCTGCAGAGGTGTGCTCGGACTGGGCCTCGCAGCTGCCTCTATGGCTGCCGCTGCGGAAGGGCCCTCACCCAGACCTCTCCCGCAAAGCGTCTGCTCCCGCAACATTTCTAGGGTGTCTAATGTGGTGCCACCAATCAGGGACAGCTCACTGGGCAATGCACTCTTGTGGGGGTATTTAGCTGTGGTAGCATTGCATATTTGAGGTTCCCCAATGTCCCTGATCTATGGAATTGGCCATGATGATTGGGAGTCCTGGGTGGGGAGAACCAATCTGGGGGGAGACATAGTGTGGTGAAGGCTGGGGCATATCCGTAGTGATGGCAGGAATGTGGAGGCTGGGACTGGGGTCTGGAGACTGGACAGGGGCCAGAGATCTCACTTGGCTACTGAGGGATGTGGCCATCTGCTGGCCAGAGAGGTAAAGCCTGTGATTCTCTGAGAGCATGTGCTGCTGGGACTCATGGGGTTTGTTAGGTCTGTGCTGACAGAAGTCAGGCCAAGAGATGTTGTTAGAGTTTTAGAAATTTTATTTTTAATACACACAAGTATATCCATTTCAGCAAGCAAGAGTAGGGAGGGCAGGATATTTATCTCTGTGTAGGTCGGACATAGGTGCAGGCGGTTGCAGGAAGCTGGGTCTAGTGTTGCTTTTCTCAGCTGCTTAGCTTCTCTTGTGATACCTGAAATGAAAACAGGAAAACAGCAGAGAGGGCAGGAGCTTCATGTGGTGACAATAGAAAAGTAGTGAGCGCAGAGGAGAAACTGAGGGTAGGGGAAAGATACAGAATATGCCTAACAGGGTTTGGCTGGCCTGGGACCCAATCTGCTGCTGCTGCATGGCTGCTCTTAGTGTCAGCGTCCCTAAGGCTGCTGGAACTGGGCGTGTCCTGCCAGGCCTGCAGCCATGCCAGCGCTGCCTTCCTGTTGCTGCTGCTGCTGCTGCTGCTGCTACTGCTGCTCCTTTGCATCTCTCTGTACTGTGGTTCATACTCCCCAACACTGGGGTTGCGCCCTGGGTTCATGATGTTTAAGGCCTCACCCTGGGGGTTCAGGCCTCCCATTGCTTACTGCTGCGGAGGGACAGCAGGTCGTGGCCCACTGGCTTGCATGGTGTTCAGGTTCAGCAGGCTGAGCTAGAGCTGAAGGCCGGGCTGGCTGGCCTCTTACTTGGCCTTGTGCTATTTAGTGAGAGCTGCCATCATCTGAGGGTTTGACTTGAGAATGTTGAGTACTTGCTGCTGCTGGGGGAGCTGGGACACTTCAGGATCCACAGCAGGTCCTGCAGGGCACCCAGAGAGATGCTCTGAGGTGGCTGCACCTTAGGTCTGCATAGACATCATGGGTCTGGGCATGCCTCACATTGGCTTTTGCTGGGGGATGGTGCCGGCTGCCTCTGCTGGAGTATGGGGGCAGAATAACAGGCCCGCTGACCTGGTTAAGTCACATTCAGGCCCATGGGGGCCATCTGGCTCTCAGGGGTGGGGTCACTGTGCCTCAGGGGCATACCATTGTCGAAGCTCACTCAGTACAGGTGCTGCTGCTACTGCTGCGCCTCATGTGCAATCTGCCAGACACCTCCACTGCTGCAGGTGGACCCTGGTGAGGGGGCGGAGGGAAGGGGTGGCATCTGGTTAGTGGGCTTCCCAGTGTAAACTGTGGTGGGGGCTGAGTTTTGGTCATGTTGGAGAAACCAGCTAGTGACTATGCTCACAGGCGAGGGCTGGGGCAGAGTCGGGGGCTGTGGTGTCCAGGGTGTGCTGGGATGCAGTGTGGGGAACCGGGGGGGTGGTGAAGGAGGAGAAGGCAAACTCTGCTGAGACATGGTGCGGGTATTGATGGTGGCATCCGTTAGCACATGAGCTACGTGTGCTGCCGGCGGTGCTGCATCTCCTGCTGGTGGAGCTTCTGCTTGACGTTGAGGCAGTAGGGAATGGGGCATGTATTTTCTTGGCAGTTTTTGGCATGGTAGCAGCAAAGGGTGACGAACTCCTTGCACACTCCGCAACCTCCATTGGTCTTGTTTTGGCAGCTCTTGGTGTGCTGCACAACCCAGTTCATCTGGCAGTTGGCTTCGGGGCACTGGTGGGCATGCCTCAGGGATTGGATGCAGCACTGGATGGCCTAGTGCCGCCTCCCCTCCCGGAAGTTCCTGAACTGTAGCTCACCCTGGCTGCTGCCCTCATTGTCCAGGCCCAGGCCGACCTTTACCATCTTATGGGTGTGGCCTTTATGTTGTAAGCAGTTGATGTCCTCGTACCAGCCACTGCTCCCTCGGCGGAGGCACTGCCTCTGCTCAGGCTTCTGCAGCAGCAGTTACTGCCTCCTGGGCTCCAGCTCTCACAGTTTAGGTGCCACCTCCCAGCTCCCGATCCCCAGGCTGTGGCACGGCCACGGTGTCCCTTCTCCTGTGCAGCCAGCTCTGGCAGCTGCTGTGGCTTTGTCCGGATGGTCATCCAGAAGGTCTCCAAGTCTAATTAGCATACTACTCTTTCATTAGTATAGACTAGAGGTCCAGTGCATGAAATTAGTGCACTAGGGAAGGGGGTCCCTCAGCCTGGCCTGTGCCCTCTCACTGTCCGGGACCCCTCACTCCTTACTGCTTGACTTGCTGCTCCTTAGCACTGCTACAAAGGCGGGAGAGGCTCCTGCCAACACCACTGTGCTTGCCAGCAGTGAGCCTGGCTTCTGGCTGAGCTGCACCCCCCCTGTCGGAATACACTGACCACCAAGGGGCAGCTCCTGCATTGAGCACCTGCCCCCTGGTGGTCAGTGTGTATCATAGCAATCAGTTATTTTGTTCTTGCTGTAACAGTTGCTTAGACTTTTATTAGTATATAGATATTCTAGGACATTTAATTTTTATTTTTCTTATGCATGATATTTTTACATAGTTGTGATTGTAGTATATATATATAATTTTATATTCTGTTTTATTGTAACATGAAATTTTTAGTTTTTGAATTAAAGTAAATTTTTGAGATAACGTATTCACATGATTTAAAAATCAAAACTATGTAGAAAGGTAAATATTGAAATTTTTTTAAATAAATTTTTATTGTTCATATTATTACAAATGTTCCTTTCCCCCCCTTCTCACCCCACCCTCTGCCCTTTCCCCACCCCCCATTGTCCTCATCCATAGGTGCACAGTTCATGTTCAGTCTCTTCCCACATCCCCCTCTCCTCTTTTCTCCAAGAATCATCAGTTCACTCCCCTTCCATACCTCTGATTCTATTATATTCAACAGTTAATATTGTAAATCAGATTTTTTTTTTTTTTAGTTTCCTTGGTTTTTAGATTCACTTGTTGATAGTTACGTATTTGTTGTTCATAATTTTTATCTTTATTTACTTTCTCTTCTGAAAGAACCCCCTTCAGCAATTCATATAATTCTGGTTTGGTGGTGATGAACTCCTTTAGCTTTTTTTTATTAGTGAAGCTCTTTATCTGACCTTCGAATCTGAGTGATAGCTTTGCTGGATAGATTATCTTTGGCTGTAGGTTCTTGCTATTCATCACCTTGAATATTTCTTGCCATTCCCGTCTGGCCTGCATGGTTTCTGTTGAGAAATCAGCTGACAATCGTATAGGTGCTCCTTTATAGGTAACTACCTTCTTTGCTCTTGCATCTTTTAATATTCTCTCTTTGTCTTTTGCTCTTGGAATCTTAATTATGATTTGTCTTGGTGTGGTCCTCTTTGGATTCCTTTTGTTTGGAGTTCTGTGCGCTTCCTGGACTTGTAAGTCTAATTCTTTCACCAGGTGGGGGAAGTTTTCTGTCACTATTTCTTTCAGTATGTTTTCGATATCTTGCTCTCTCTCATCTTCTGGGACCCCCATAATTCTGATGTTGGTTCGCTTGAAGTTGTCCCAGAGTTTTCTTACATTATCTTCAACTTTCTGGATTCTCTGGCCTTCTTGCGTCTGCGGAGGAGTGTCTTCTGGCTCTTTATGTTCCAAATCTTTGACTTGATTCTTGCGATCTTCCATTCTGTTTTTAGGACTCCATAAAATATTTTTTATTTCAGACAATGTATTCTTTATTTCTTGTTGATCCCTTATTATTTCTAGTTGATCCCTTTTCATATCCTCATAGGTCTTGTTTATTTTATCGGCCTTTTCTAGGAGATTCTTAAACAACCTTATAAGTGTGGTTTTGAACTCTATATCCAGTCGCTTTTTGTCCTCCATTTCTTTTGTTTGTGATCTATTTGGTTTAGGCATTTTCACAGGCAGCTTTCCTGATGGGGCGGGGTTTCAGGGTGGAGCCTACAGCCTTGGCTTCTGTCAGCCCCGCCCTATGCGACTCCTGAGACTCAGGGTCCTTCAGTACTTGTTGCGAGCGCCTCTGAGAGAAAGGTGCCCTCGATTTTTGCCTGCTGCCAAACTGTCTATGCTCTCCCCCAATGAGTCTGGTATTGGGGTTCAGTTCAGTTGGTAGTGGGATTGGAGGTGGCG